CTCTCTCTCTCTCTCTCTCTCTCTCTCTCTCTCTCTCTCTCTCTCTCATACACACACACACACACACATGCATACACACACACTCAAATGATATGTCGTAGCTTGTAATCTCTCTGCTGCACAAGAGAGGAGGAGAAGGGTTAAAGTCACCTGCTTCTTCCTACTTTCTGCCTTTCAGATCTATTCTGGGCCTCCTGAAGACAACGCTGCACCCCCCGTGCCGCCACCTCGGGTCGCCACCCGAAGGCACAAGCCCATCACCATTTCCAAGCGCCCCCTGAGAGAGAGACCCCTCTTCTTTGGAGGTTCTGTGGAAGAAAGCGAAGGTGGGTCCCTCGTAGCACAAGTCCTTCCATCACCAGCGGTTGGGTCTTGGTTAGGATCGGGTTCTAATGGTGTTGGGTCAAGCGGTGAGTGCCATTACATCTCATGGGTGGCGTTTTTAGAGTAACAGAAGAGAAATTATACCTGGCGTTAACTTGCAACCGTTTTTGAAAGGGAAATAGTTACTCCAGTCTACCTGACAAAACGTTTTTGGAACTTTGAAGCAGTTATGAACTCTGTTTTCTCATGCAGCAGATCCAAACTGTTGCTGCCTTAATTTCACCCTAAGGCCAGAGGACTCTGATCTCGCTGGCTTACCTAGACTTTGGGTTTGGGGCAACGATGAGATGGGAAAGGGAATGTCTGGACTCCTCTGTTGTTTTGGGTTGCCCTTGATGGAGCAAGGAGATCCTGGCATCTGGGCTCCAGGATTCAGCTGAGGGTTAATTTCCAGCACTCGGTGTGAGGTTTGTTCTGTTCTTCTGGGATTCTTTAGCATGGAGGTACAGCAGCAGCCAGGGACCACTTGAATTGTCACTGTGTAAAAGGACAATTTGGGCCTCTTTTCCTGACCAAACCCAGACGCTCCGTTCTTCAACGCTCAAGTATTTGAGCCTTCAGAAGTTTGAAGTTGTAGGAGAATGTTGTCCTCCGGGGGACTGAGGGAGGCGTGTAGTCATGCTGTCGGCCAGCATTGGGGTTTCCGCTGCAGTTATGCTAGTGGAAGAGGAAAGAGAGCCAGCACACGCAAGCATCTTAAACATCCCATGTGCAGGAGTTGGGCCTTGCAGCACCTACTCTCTGGGGGCAGAGGCTCCGAGGGTAATGGAAGTCAGTGCCCCTTCTGATCCTGCTGGCTGGTGGCAAGCTGGCCTGGGGCAGCCAAGGGTCGAGGGGATGCAGCCTCTTGGAAGCGTGACAGCTCTCCCTTCAGCCCGACTGAATTGGGCAAAAATGGACGTGAACTTACCGATGCCTCCTTCCTTCTGGAGGCAGCTTCTAAAAGCCACCTCCTCCAAATCTTTGCGCTGACGGTGCAGAGGACGTCGTGCCGTCGCCCGAGAGCTCCGTGAAAGCTCAGTCAAGGCCTGGAAGCCGCCTATAAATACATTCCCTGTTTATTACAGTCATTCTTGCTGTTCCTTATGCTAATACTAATTATGAGATTTATATATTCGGATGAAATACGTAAGGAGCCCTTTTGAACACTGACAGGGAAATCTAGTTCCATGGCAATATCGAGGTAGAGGAGGTGGGTTTTTTTTTGGGGGGGGGGTATTTTAGGGGATTGAAAGGCAGATATTCTTTTAGGGCCCGCTCCCCCCAAATCTTCTTGCTGACTTGGCCGTCTCCTTCTGGGAACAGACTGTTCCTGGACGATCTGTAGGCTCAGAAAACGCCTCAGGTGGCCAGAATTCTTATGAGTTGGCTTTTCCCTCTCAGGTGGCCAGCCGAAGAGCTGAAGAGTCACTATCCAGGTTCGGTAGAAAATACCAGATGCAATCAGGCCCGTGAGGGGAGGGGTGGTTGGAGAGTTTAATAAGATTCAGAGACACCAAGTGAAAAACCGAGGACTTTGCTACCAACTGGAGGCCATGACCTCCGTGGGGAGCGTAGGGCGGCCAGGGTTGACTTTGCGGAGGGTTCCCTCCATTTCTGACTTGCCCGCATGCCGTAAGAATTGACCGCCTGTTCTCTTGGGCTCCCCCTGCAGAGGAGGACAGCTGTGGCCTGGCCCCGAATGGCATCGTTGCTGCCCTCAGCCCTGACGTGCCGAAGCCCCTCCAGCGCAGCCGACTGCAGAGGCCCGGAGAAGCTGACCCAGGAAGGCCCAGCCCAGAGAGCCGTGGAGCTGGGGAGCCCTGCGCAGAGGTGGGCGTGGGAAGGCTGGTGTCCAGGCTCCAAGAAGGAGGAGCAAAGCTCTCCAGTAAACCTGCCAACAGCATCGGGCCAACTCCCCATGCCCTGAAGACCTCCAACCTCCAGTCCAAGAAGCCTGCCCCAAGGCCTGGGGCCAGCTGCAGAGAAGGTGAGCCTGGTGGGTTGGATCCTTCCCCAAGACCTGCTGCATCCTGGCCCCCAGACCTTCCAAGACCCCGGGGCCCCTCAAATTTTGCAGTACAGCTCAAGACTCCATTGGGGGGTGAACTGTGGGTGCCCAGTGGGTCTTCCATCTTCTGAATTAGAACCACAGCTGGCAGATTAACAAATGGTTTATTCTCTTTTTTTCCACCATTTTTCCATTTTGTTTAGTTTCGGTTCTAGCATAGAGTTATTTTTAAGAGAGTTTGGAAATCACATTGTGGTATGATCGTTTTATTTAAGGCAGAGATACAGACAGTATGATGGGTTACGTAAAGCTACAATATAATTCCTCAATTTCAAGTCTGAAACTCCCCAAAATAAGCATTGCAAGCTCTGTGTGTGTCTTGGCTCAGAAAAAGAGAAACACTGATTTCTAGGGCTGAGCAGCCTGAGGGACTTGGAATATAGGGCGACCAAGCCGGTGGGTTTCTGTCCATGACACCAGACGGGGCCACCCTCTTTATCCATGGAGACAAGGACCAGGGGGACCGGAGAGCCTCTCCCGGTATTTGGGGGGGCTGCCCCAAAGAAGAGGGAGGGGCCAAAGCCCCTGAGGGCAGGACAAGAAGCAACGGGTGGAAACCAAGCAAGGAGAGAAGCAACCTGGAATTAAGGAGGCGGAACTTCCTGGCCAGGAAAGCAGTTAACTGGTGGACACAACTTGCCTCCAAGAGTTGAGTACAGGTAGTCCTTGACTTACAACAATTCATTTAGGGACCGTTCAAAGTTACATCGGCACTGAAAAGAGGGACCTGTGACGGTTCTTCACAGTTACAACCTTCGCTGCCTCTCCTGACTGTGTGACCTGAATTCAAATGCTTGTCGACTGACTCCTATTTATGACCGTCGCTGTCACGGGATCCCTTTTTTGGGACCTTCTGACAAGCAAAGACAATGGAGAAGGCAGATCTCCTCAACAACCAGGTTACTAACTGAACAGTTGCAGTGATTCATTTAACAACCGAGGCCAGAAAGGTCATAAAGTGGGGCAAAACTCACTTAACAATAGAAATTTTGGGCTCAAGGGTGCTCGTAAGTTGCACTCCCAACACGGGAGGCTTTTGAGGAGAGGCTGGGCAGCCCCTTGTCTGGAATGGTCTGGGGTTCCCTGCCTGACCAGGGGTTCGACTAGAAGACCTCCAAGGTCCCTTCCAGCTCTCTCATCCCGTTACTTAATTGCGAGAGCACCCAAGAAAGCCACGGCATTTAAAACAAAACAAAACCTGGCAACCATACATCCAAACGATCCTCTTCGTTGGAGGCCTGGGGCCTGGCTGAGGGCGGGCAGGGGGCCTGGGGGGGCTGCTTGGAGGAGCCTCGGATGCTCTGCGTCCTTGGCGCATCGTGGGAGGTGCCGGAAGGACGGCTTCGGGAGAGTTTTTCCCGCGGAGGTTAACAGCTGGACAGGTTCCTTCCGGCAGAAGCAGCCCCCGTAGCATTTAGGACGCTGAAGAGAAAGAGAGATGTCAAGCCATGCTTGGCAAAAGCATTCAGAACCGGCAGGAGGATTTCAGAAGTGGCTTCGCCTAATCTCTGCGTTTTGCGCTAGTTAACCCTTTAGCAGCTGCGTTTTGTACGAACTGTCATTCCTGGGCCTCATTCCAGTCGTCGAGCCAAGATGTTTAATTACTGCGAAATGTCACCCATCCCAGCTGGTTCAGGAAGGTTCATGGCGGCACAGCAGCCTCCGTGGGGCAAACCCTCTGCCGAGGGAGGGGCTGAAGATCCAAGCTGACCCTCCCAGCCGAAGGGAGGGGCGGAGGGGGGGGAAGTACCGCTGAGCCTTAATTTGCAACAATTTTCCTGTTTAACTTGAGATTTTTCATCTGGCAGCATTCAAGGACACTGCAGAGTTTCCTTCCAGTTGGAGACAAAAAAAAAACTCCAGAAGCATCTTCAGGGACTGTTCGTAACACACACACACACAGAGACGTGTCCCTGAAGCGTGCTCTGCTGTATGCCTGCAGGGGCCTCCTTTTCACTTTCATGAAGATTTTGAGGAGCAACAGGAGGAAAAAAAAAATTGGACAATGTGGAGCCTCAAACTGTCATCATGGAATCGATGCCTGTTGGTCACCCACCGCCCCTTTTTTGTAGGCTAATTTCTTCCCCCGGGGAGCAGCTTTGCCAACCTCATTTATTAATCATTCCGTTTGTTTGCCGCTCGTCTCACCCCCAAAGAGACTGTAGGCAGCTTACAATGTTAAAAGGAATAAGCTTATACAAAAACGTGTATATAACAAGAATAGGACACTCTGCACATGCACATTGTCAGCTTTAACTAAAAGATGGGGAGGGAGGAGGCGGGGTCTGTAATTCATCCCAAATGGGAGCGTGTTCGGGGGAGCACTGGAAACGGGAAGAGCGCGTGTGCACTGGAAAGCTGAGCTTCCGGTTTGCAGCGCTCCTGTGTGCACGACCAGCTGGCTAGCGCACATGTGCACGCTGCAGCTCAGAAGAGCAATGGGTGATAGCTGGCATGCCCAGGGAGACAGCTCTGCCTGCCACTTCCGGCACACATGTGCCATAGTTCGTCATCACGGAGTTAATCTTATCCACCACCAAGGTGATGCTCACCCATTGAAGGCCCGGCCAGGTGGCAGAGCCAGGTCTTCAGGCCCTGGCAGAGGGTCAGGGCTCTGGCCTTATTCTGGGGGCAGGAGTGACGGCAGAGAAGGCCCCTCTGGAGCCCACCGGCTGGAATTCCCCGTCTCCTCTTCCGGCATGGGTGGGGTGGACCGCTCCCGTTGGAGTGTGATGCTCCCTGGGCTCTTGCCGTGAAGAGCTTTCAAGACGATAGCCAACATCTTGAGCTGTTTCACCGATGCTCCTCCTTCCTTGAGGTGGACGTCCTTCACGGTGTCCCACTGGTTTCCCGGCCAATCTGCCCCCCCATCACACTGCACCACAATGCGCACAGGAAACGCGGAGAGAACCTTAAGGCTCCCGGGTGGGTGTGTTTTCTGGTAGTTCTGCATCACTTTCTCTTCCTTGCCTGCCTTCTGGGCTGTCGTTGGCTTGGCAGCCCCACCAGCGGGGAAGTCAACTGCAGGGGAAGGCCAAGTCCGCTTTTATTGACCTGGCGGGTCTGACTGGGTTGTCCCTCCTCCCCGTGTGAATTATGGATTAGGGAGGGGCCTGGCTGAGCCCTTCCAAAGGACGCTTGTCTCTAGCGGACTTCAGCCACGTTTTTCTCCTTATTGCTTCGGTCAAGGACTCGCTTTATCTCTGCCAAGGTCACTCTCCTTACCCTTCGCATCCCATCTTGACATCAACTCCAGCTACCTTAAAGCAAAACATATTTAAGACGGCATAAGTTTCACAAGCTTATGAATCCCACAAGAATTTGGTCACGTTTGTATTTATGTGCTGCTGGCATTCAGGACCTCGTAGGAAATCTCAGTGCAGCGGTGGCTGGTCTGGGCCATCGGGATGAATGTGGTCCCGGCCTCTGCTTCCTTTCCTGAGGCTTTGAATCAGGACGGAGGGAGGGAGGGAGCTGCGAAGCCCCTCAGGGTTCCTCCCAACCTGACCACCATTCCTCACAATCACGTTACACAATCAGGCTGCAACTAGATCCCATTTTTCATTCTCCACAAAGTCTTTTTTTTTTTTGGTCGCTTCTTTTTTATTTTTATTATTTCTTTAAAATATTCTATGCAAACTGCCATCGAGGGTAAAGCCATAACATGAAATCTTCCACTGTACAAATCCAAAATCACTATTACCAAATAAAAGGACAAAAGCACCGCAAACTATAAAAAAACACTGTAAAAAATATCATAAAAACAGCGGGAACAGTGAAGAAGAACCAAGTGGGAACTATTAAACAGCATCCAACTCGGTGCAACATCATTAAGACGGATGGCAGAACTAGGTTAAGCAGAAAATGACTTATCTGGTACAAGCGATGATGGAGTCACACACGTTTCCACCAGGTGCTGTAAACGAACATGGTTTGCATCCTGGGTCTTGACGTTTCATCACAACTACCCACAGCCGTGGTCGTCATGCATCAACAAAAGATAAATTGTCAAGAAAAGCTACAGAGGGCATGTTTGGCAAATGTATGGCCCTCTCAACTTCATTAGAATAGAATTTCTACCACAGTTAAAAATCTTCCTCGGTACAACTGTTCAATTATTCTGAAATGCTGAGTATTAAAAAAAAAAATCAGATAATTTTCAACTGTTAGTCAAATTGCTCATAGTTCGGATTGAGAATATAACGTAACTCCAATGCTAATTTTGTTTCTTTGCATTTCTGTATCTTCAATTTTTGTGTATCTTGCCACACCACAGAATTTTATTTCATACCTGGTAGCATTCCCAACCTTTCTGTGTCGGCTACTATACAATTGTTATTAGAGCTCTTTCTGCTTTCTGATGGCAAGAAATACAGGCAGCTGCAATGAGGCATCATTTCAATCAGTTGGCACATTTCAAATAATATTGAAAGGGTTCTTTTCAAAATAGAATTTGTGGTCAGCTGCTCCATGGTATTGGAAAATGGTTCTAAGACCTTCGGCATATGTTTTTCCCATTAGAATCAGAATAGAGCTGGAAGGGGTCTTAGAGGTCTTCCAGTCCAGCCCCCTGCTCAAACAAGAGACCCTATACTATTTCTGACAGATGGCTGTCCAGTCTCTTCTTAAAAACCTCGAATGATGAAGCACCCACGACTTCTGAAGGCAACTTCTGTTCCACCGATTCACTGTCCTCACCATTAGGAAGTTTCTCCTTCCTTCCAGATTACTTCCCTTCTTGATTAGTTTCCATCCATGGTTTCATGTCCTGCCCTTTGGTGCTTTGGAAATAAGTTCTTTGTGGTAGACTCTCAAATACTGGAGTATGCGATCAGGTCACCCCCTGGTCCTCCTTTTCCCTAGACCGGCCAAACCCAATTCCGGCAACTGTTTTTCGTACGTTTCTGCCTCCAGGCTTTTAATCATCGTCGTTGCTCTTTGCACTTTTTCCAAAACTGGATACAGTATTCCAGGTTGGTTTTATAAGGATTTATAAAGCAGTACTAATACTTCGTGTGATTTTGAGTTTATGCCTCTGTTTTTACAACCAAGGATTGTATTAGCTTTTCTGGCTGCCGCCGCACATGGCTGGCTCTTGTTTAAGTGACCATCCACTCCAAGGTCCTTCTCGCTGTTTTTGAGCCAGATTTCGCCTAATATCTATTTGTACCTTTGGCTTTTCCTGCCTAGGTGTAAAACCTTGCTTTTCTTCACTTTCCAGTCCATGTTTTTGGATAGGGCCCGTTGTTCAAGTCTGCTTGGATCCTGTGCTTGTCTTTTGGGGTGTTGGCTATTCCCGACAGCTTAGTGTCATGTGCCAATTTGATGAGTTATACAGATTTATATTCCTTACAGATGGTGAGGAACAGAAGGATTTTATGGGTGTGAACCCTTCTTGGAAGTGCTGAAAGGACTGTGTTGCGAAGCGGTGCTTTCCAGTTCTTGTGAGGTCCACTCCATTCCTTGCCAGTAGCCCTTTGTGTAGATAATGCAGACCATGGTCTTAGTCCTTGGAAAATCCCAATAAAAGTCTGCTGGAAAATCCTCCACCCTGTTTTTCGACCAATCGATGATTCTTTATTTGGGATCACAGGATACCATCTCTAGCTCTGTTCTTTGGGAGGGGGGATGCGGGAGAGAGAGAGTGAGGGAGGGAGAGAGAGAGAGACCTTTGGCTTCATGCAAGGAAAGCAGTAGAAGCAGCAGAAGTCTTTCTTTCTCTCCCCCAAACTCCACCAGAATGGTGCAGCCTCTTGGAGCAGGATCCCAAAGACCCATTTCTGGTGGAGTTTGGGGGAGAGAAAGAAAGACTTTTGCTGCTTTCCTTGCGTGCAGCCAAAAACAGAAGAAGAAAGAAGCGGAAAGAAGAAGCCCAGTGGCCAGGCCAGGCACGTGGGGTGAGTTCCCCCCCTCCACCCTTTCCCCCCTCCCCTCACTACCTTGTGTTGTTCACAATGCAAATGACGCAAGCCTTGTGTTCCCATGGGCCTTGTGTTTCCGCGCAGCCTGGATTAATTTTGGGGAGTGCTTTACGGGTGACATTTCTATGCAGACCACCAACATTTTCTCGCGGACCACCAGTGCTCCCCAGCCCACTGGTTGGGGACCACTGGTCTAGGAAACTGAAGTTTTTTTTGACCACAGCTGTTTTTAAGCCAGTGGTTCATTTCTAAAATCCTTTGCCTCCCTCTTTGGATGTTGGCCGTCTGTTGGAAATAGAGATGAAAAGGCCACTTGAGCTCCTAATTCTTTAACCTTCTTCCTTGGCTGTTTGAAATCTCTTGTTATTGTTTTCAGATTCCTTGTTGTGTCATTGATCCCCGCCTTTAAGAGAATAAAGGAGTAGTAATCCTTGGGTCTGATTATATTAGGAAGGTTCTCAGTTACATCTTTGATTTTTGCTCCAAGGAGACAATATACCTCCCAAGATTAACTGCCTGGTCTGCAGCCTATAGTCTCTGTTCCCCTAAGAATTGAGTCTCCTTATCTCCAATATTCGCCTTTTTTTTCCTTAGGGGAAAGTCTGGGACACTTTTCTTCCTGTTGCGAGGATGCTGGGTGATGCCTCTTTTTTCAGAAACTATTGGCGGCTGCTCCCTTGTGGGCATCTACACCTTTTCTTCCGTTCCATTCCTGCATTCCAGCTAATATTTTTTTTCACCTCAGGTGACTACGAGAGCTTCCCTACGAAAGCTCGGCTCCCTGGAGAGAAACCGGTCATCACGCGGCCTCCCATGCGACCCCCAGACCCCCCCTGCAAGGCTCCTGGCCCACAGAAAGTGGAGGCCAAGATGGACCTGGTGGCGGGAACAGCAGCGGAAGCCCCCTCCTCCGTGTGAGTAGTGGCAGAGCAGACCTAGCAGCTGGGCTGGACGGTCCCCTTCCCCAACTTGAGTTGCTGGTTTGGCTGGGGGATTTGGAGCCAAGAAGGGGGCACCTTTCCAGAAAGAATATTTGCTCCGAAGCGAAGAGTGTGGGTCCTCTGCCGAGAAAGAGCCCCAATGCCTGTGGAGCCCCTGCTTAGACCTCCTAAGGGGGCCAGGCCTAGGTTGCTCATTCTCCACTGTTCTCCCCCAAATTCCTCTGTTTTCACCCAGAAAATAGCATGTGTAAACAGGGAATTTTCTCCTGAGCTCTGGGGAAGCCTCCCTGGCAGGGGGCAGGCCCTCTGGGTGGTCCACCTGAGGGCAGGGGGAAGTGTCAGGAGAGCTGGGCACATCCTTCTGACTGTCTCTCTCTCTCTCACACACACACACACACTCACTGACTTTGAACCTTACCAGTCCACGTTCTTCACCAAGGAGAGTAGATTTTTTTTACAGCTAAGCCAGCAGTGAGCCCCTGGGCCTTTCTCTCTTTCCCCCCCTGCCTGAGGAGGGGTGGGGAGGGGCTGTCCAGGAGTTCGAGATACTTACAGGGAAGCCTTAATTTAACCTTGCAAAAACCAAGGTCACCAAAGGCTGAAGATAGGCTTGACCTGGTTCTCTCCGGTTCTCATATTTCTGCCAGCTGTTTCTCTATTATAGTGGAGACTTACATGAGTTTTGTATATCTTTGACCCTGATTATATAGAATAGCTTCTGAGAACCTGTCCAACTGCCCTTTATCCTTTAAAACAGAATTCGGCCGTCATAAAGGACTAGAAACCTGGACCATACATGTGTTCTCTCTTATCTATCTATCCAGCCCCCCGCACTGTTAATGGGGATTTGCTCCGCTGATCTTGGACTCTTTGAGTGAGCAACTGTGTTGCTACCACAAAACAAAGAGGCTGTTTGTGCTGGTTGCTTTTCAGGGTGGCGTCCAGAGCAAAGTTCTTCGAGACAGCTTCCTTCAGGAGAGGAAGGTAAGAGCAGGAAGGGTTTGCCTGTAGACATACTGTATGGTTGGCCTTCTGAAAAGCTGGCGAGTGATGCGGTCTTCTGATTTTGCCCATGGATATTTGGGACATTTACCCCAAATACATCCCCTCTGTATAGAGAGGTGCTATCAGATGCCCGAAAAGACTGGCAGATTTTGGGTGAGATTTCTGGGGAAGAGATGGTGAACTGAAGGTGGCTCAGCTGAGAGTGGAACCGATGACCGCGGTGGAATGAAGAGCCGGCGAATAGACCGGCTCTTCATAATTCCTCTCTGGACAAGGAGAGAACTTGAGATTGCCCACAGCTGCTCTGGACAGTTGCTCCTACCAAGGAGACTGCAAGACGGGGGTCTCCGGTGGGTTTACAACTCTGGGAGATGAGGGAATCTTGCTCAAATCACACTGGGCCCGCATGGTTGCTATCCGAATCATGTTTGGAAACCGCTTGTTAATTGGTCTTCAGCTATTAGGGACCTCGGGAATAAAATTACTATTACCCCAAAATAAAAAAGACAAAGGGCCTGCCAAATTCTTCCCCATAAAATGTCCTACCAGCCCCCGAGGGCCTCCTGGGTGGCTTGGCTGGCAGTAGCAGAGCTTTCCGGGGGGCTCTTTTTGTCTTGCTGACTACTGGGGGAGAGGACCAGGCTGAGCCCGAGGGAGGGGTCCAGGGCTTTACCAGCCTCGAGTCCCTCCGTGCCCACAAAAGATCGAAGTCCAGTCCATCTTGAATTCCGTGGACCCTGATCCACTGCCACTTTGCTTTGACTGCTAGATTCTTGTAGAGCTGCCAGCATGCAAGAAAGCTTGAGTTCATTTGAACTCTCTGACTTCTGATTTCCTGCGCTGGGCAGCCCAACCCTTCCCCCCTGTGCGGGAGAGGGGCTTCAACTGAAGTTGGCACCTCGGGCTGAGGGTCAGCACTATTTTCATCATGAGTTGTAAAATCCTTTTTTTGTCGGGAGAGTCAGTCGGGATGGCTGAGTCTCACGAGGCTCGTAGCGTCCCGTCTCTTGCGGCGTTCTGGCCCTGAAGTCTTGGGGAGAGTTTTCCAGAATTGGGCCTATTGTGGGTGCTGTGCTGCCAGGGGTGGGGGGAGGGGGGGAGGGGTTGGGCTGACAGAGGTGGAGTCTCCATGACGGAGAGGGGAGGAAGGCAGGGCCTCCATGCTCTGAGTCCAGCCTTAAGCCACCTCACCGGCCCTCCAGTTGACGCCAACCCGGCCTGGCTGAGAGTCGGGACAGAGCTGTGGTCCTGCTTTCCCCCCTCGTTGTTTTCCTTACTGCTTCCCTTCTTTTTCAGCTCTTCCTGTCCGCAGGGCAGATCCCCAAACGAGGAGGGATGAGAGGCCCCAGGTAATCCTGCCGTTTATTTTCCCGTTGCTTAAGAATGCTGGAGTTGTTCTGGGCAGGTTGCAGGAACCGCCTGGGGGGGGGGGGTTCCTTCTTGGCCGCAACTCCAGCAAGCCTTCGCTGGCGCCTTGTGTGTTGACATCCTCCCCTTTGTGTACTCCCCGTGTTTTTTTTCTTCCCAGGCTTCTGCATGGCCGAGCCTGGATCACCTCCCAACGGATTTGCAACCCGTGGTGTGCGCTCTGTAAACCAGCTATTTCCAACCTCGTCTTCGGACACGCCGTTGTGACCCTCTTGCGTTGTTATAAGGGGAGCAGAGGCATTCCTGGGAGAGACAGGGGACCCACCAGCTACTGGAAGGGTTGAAAAAGACAGAGCAACAACCGGGCCTCTTGCTCCTCCTCCTCCTCCTCCTCCTCCTCTCACGCCAAGCTCCTCCTCCTCCTCCTCATCTCCAGGAAGCTCTGCGTTCCCCTTCGGTGGCAGTTGGCCTGGGACAGCCAAAGAGGGACTGGCCTCCGATGGGCTCCTGCTCCAAGAGCTGCTACCTGGATCTAGGATCTGGGCTGCAAGCGGCTCCTCTGCCCCAGCGGGCTTCTGGCTGGCTCCAAATGCGCCACGTTGTGTTATTGCTTTCCTTTTCAAAGACGGAGGTGTTGTGTGGAGGGCAGGAGTGGGGCTGGCTGTGAGGCAGAAAACATTCCCAGTAAGGCCTCCGCACCTCTTACTGGTTGTGCTTGCGCAACCAGCAGATGTTCCAGTGAGTGAATAGTAGGAGGAAGATTTCTGGAGCCAGCAGCTGTACCCCAAAGGGAGTAGAGCACTGGGCACTGAAGCAGCAACGACTGTGCACCTCTGTGAGGCTATTTTCCCTGAGGTCCAAAGCAGCTTCAAGACATTCCAGGTAGTTTTACCTTTCGTTGGGCCACATTCCGCCCCCCCCCACCTTATTTTTCCTCCCCCAGGGCCCTTCCCGCTTGCGGTAGAGTGAGACGAGAGCCTGCATTTAGATCTGCTTTTCTTTGACCTGCAGCTGAAGGGAGAAAGGGATGCTGTGGTTGTGGTTGTCTGCCTGCCTGCCTGCCTGCCTGCGCTTGTGTGCCTGTCTGTCTGCCTCAGGCGGCGTCTGGGCGAGACGGCTTAGGACCTTCTGGCATCTCAGCTGGGATGCTCTTTCTCCAAGCTCCACCTTGGATCCCTGCAGAGCCCCTTCCCCGGGATTCCCCATTCCAAGGACCAAAGTAGGAAGCATCCAGCAAGCACCTTTTAGCCGTGCTTTGCAGATACAAGAAATCAGTGAACTTTGGGGCGTGGCCCTGGGTTGCCAGATATCGGGCCCATTCATTTCTCTTTAAAAATAAGGTTGACACTTGTACCAAACCCACCGTGCCATCAGATAAATAATTTATTTCCACAGAAGTCAGCAGGAAATGCCATGCTGATATTTAACATGCCTCGAGGGGTGGAGAAAGTGACGCGTGTGCTTTATTCCTGTGGTTTTGCTACCGGTGCCATCCAACGTTCCCTTGAACTCCCCAAAGTTGCTGATCCAATAGAGAAGTTGGTTCACCCTGTGAAGTCCGAGTTCTTAACCGCCATTATAAGTTGGACTGAATAACCGAAGATCGATGGAGAGATACGAAAACACCAGCAGCCTTTTGTCAGTCCAACCCTGGAGCTCCAGATCTTTGCTCATTGAGCAATGTGAGGTTGCAGTGACCTCCAGGAAGTCCAGGCGTTGGGCTAACATCAATCTGTGTCGATCTGTGTTTCCCAGTAGTCCATCAATGGTTTATGCTGATACCATTTATTTCTACTGTGGGAAATGATTGCGGGAGGGAGGGAACATTCAAGATGTGATCGATTTCAGAGAGTAGAAGCTGAGATGGGAAAGGAATTTCTGAAAGCGAACGTTGGCCATTTCTCTCTGCGGGAAGAGTGGGGTACTCAGCTCCCTAACTATTGGGTGGTGATCGCAGCCGAAATGGGGACGTCTCTCCTCAAACCTGCTTTGGTCATAAGCTAAAGATGTCCAGCAATTCAGCTCTCTCCGTTTTGTGAATTTAAAGGGCACTTAAAATATTTGTCTGGTAAAAGTAGTAAATTAGTTGTAATAATGTTTATAAAGTTTCCATGGATTAAAAGAATCCACCTGATTACTCTTGACTGTCGTTTTTTGAACTTGTGTGAACTTTATTTGTAGAACAGTAAAGCCAGCTTGCAAAATACAACATATTTGATTACCTCCAACGTTAGACAGAGGACAAGACCACTTGCTCATTGCAAGAGTTGGAGTTAGGGTCCCCACATGAGTTACAAAAGGTTGCAGTCCACTTACTTCAGAATTCCCTTAGAGGATCTGGCCTGTATGCCTTTCCTCTTTGGAGTTAATACAGACCTATCACTCACTCTAGGTGGGAATGGATGGAAAGCCAACTCATTGGCAGAGGGCCGTGTTGGAAAGTTCTGTTGATGATACCAGTTTTTAAGCCATGGTTCATTTCTAGAATCCTTCGCTCCCTCATTGGATGTTGGGCTTTCGGTGGCGGTATAAATGAAAATACCACTTGAGCTCCTAATTCTTTAACCGCCTTCCCTCGCTGTTCGTAATCTGTTGTTGTTATCTTCAGATGCGTTGTTGTGTCGTTGTTGGCTTTTGATGCCATCGACTGTGGTGTCCTTTTGGGTTGACGTAATGGAGTTGGAGGCAGGTGGCACAATCACCTCCCTCCTCTGAGGCAGGCTCCAAGTAGCGTTAATAGGGGGTGAGGTTGCTTCTTTCTGGGGCGCCACAGGGCTCAGTACTCTCTCCAGTCCCTTTTTAACATCTACATGAACCCGCACAAGACAAGGTAGCACCAATAACCCCGATGATACCCAGCCACCTATCTCCATCCCAGGTGAAGGGAGAGATACCCTTCCGTGGGGCCCAAAGGCGGTGGGCGTCTGGATGGAGAACAGCCCTCTTCAGCTGAGCCTGGTCAGTTGGAGTGGACGGGGTGGGGCCCTTCTGGGTCCGGGAGTTCACTGCTCCTGGATGGGGCTACCACTACCCCAGGCTGACCTGGCACATCACCTGGGGGGCTCCTGCTGAAAGAGCAGGTGGCAGCCGTGGCCAGGAGGTCCTTTGCCCGACTTCGCATTGCGTGCCAATTGTGCCCCTTCCTGGACAGGGAGGCCCTCCACTCGGTCCCTTGCGCCCCGGTCGTCGCCCAATTGGACTCCTGCAATGCGCTTTGCGTCAAAGGGTCCTGGGCAGCCATGGCAAAATGAGTCCTTCCTGCTCTGACCAGCCCTTGGTCAGCCATCTTGCGAAAGGCCCGGCTTTCCCAGGGAAAGGCACCTTCCTGGCTCCCAGGGCCAGGGGGTGCTGCCTCCAGCTATTGAAGTCCAGTGCTCACCAGCATTAGCCAAGGGTGGGGGAGAAGGAGGAGGGCTGGCGCTCCAAAGGCGTCTTTGCTCTGCTTCCAGCCTAGATGCGTCTGCTGCCTGCTGCAGCCCCCAGGAGACGCCGTTTCCCCCGGCCCTTTGGGCCTGTGTGACTGCAAGCCCCTTCGCTGGCTCAGCTTCTGGTGGGGAGTGGAGAGGCAGCCGTCACTTTCTTCCACAGGTTGCCATGGCGATGGAGGAAGCCGAGCCCCCCTGCGGAGAGTCTGCGCTGCCCCTTCGATGCTCATCCAGCCCCCCCCCCCCCATGGAAGCTCCAATAGCAACTTGCCAAGCCCCCCCCACCCCCACCCCCGGCCTTGTGCACATATTTCAGCAGCGTTATGGTTTGAAAAACATATTTCAACAGCGTTACGCTTTGCCATGGAGCAGTCACTGAGGAGAAGCCATTCTGGAGAATATTGTGCCTGCACACTCAAACATAGGGGGTGTCATGGCTCGGTACACACAGAGCCCGAGGTAGCCCACCGTCTGCGCATGGAACAGACGCTTAAATGGCAAAAGGCATTTTCCCACCTAAAAGGTTTCAAAGCTCTTTAAGGGAGTGCCTTATGGCAGGCAAAACGTCTAATCTTTGCAGCTTTTGTCTGCTGAAAGGAATGCAAAACACGCCTGTTTTTAAGGAAATCTTGATGGATTTTTATTTTAAAAAGGAGCACAAACCATCAACGTATGGCCGCTTTCCCCTGATTAATCTTTCCATCCTCCGGGCTTTCACCAAGAGCCCTCCAGCATGGCGGGAGCACTAGCCTAGCTGAGACCGAGTCAAACTGAGGTGGCCAGAGCCTCTCCGAGGGCAGAAAGGGCTGACAGACGGCATACTGGATGGGGGGTGGGGGGAAGTCCTTGAGGAAGGAAAATCATTCCTGTAAAACAGGCCTGTGGCTTCCGTGCCTCATTTAGCGCATCATCCTTCCACACTGCCTGGAAACGGCAACTGGTGTCGAACGAGCGCAAGGAAGCGCCTCCGTCTGTTGGTTGTGGGCTTCCTCGCACAATCCCTTTCAAGGCTCACCTAATGGCTGCTGAACTGCTGGGCACCAAGTCCCACAGGAGGGACCCATTTTCCGAGGCTCTGCAGCAGGGAATGGGGCAACTCGCTGCGGGACAATTTAACCATTCCATTTAATTATTTAAAATAAATTAAAAAAAAAACTATTTTAATTTTTGCAATCCACATTTAATTCTGTCCCTCCTTTTGCATCCTTTCTTTAAATGGATTCTATTCCGTGATTCCTTTGACACTAGTGTAACTCTTGTCCCAGGGCGAGTTGGCCGTGGTGCCCCCGCAGCACCCAGGAGGGCAGGGGCCACGTCTTGGTGCTCCCAGGCTGTGGAAAGCCACGGCTGAGCCTCTCCCAGAAGCCTTGGAAAGAACTTCCAGATTCAGTGAATTGGCCAGGACCTAGAAGCGTTAAGGGAAGTTCACGCCGATTCTAATTCATGTCTCTGCACTTCTCTCATTTTTTGGATAGCCTATATTTGTGGTGTTTGCTGATATTAAGTAGGAAGATGAAAGAGAAATCAAAACTTTTTTCAAAATCAACTATTATATAATTCTCTCTGGGTCTGAGTCTGCAGTGATAATGCGAGCAAAGGATACGTTTTTCATTCATTCTATTCGTACTGCAGTTAGAATGGGGAAACCTTTGTTTTTAATTTGTGTTTAGACTTGGACCAAAAAATGATGATTTTTAATTTATGCATAAAAGACTTCATGTTTTTATCAATTTATCAAACATTTTATTTCATTGAAAGGATTCTGTGCAATGCCCGGAGTCACTTGTGATGAGATGGGTGGCTATATAAATCTGATCAATAAAGAAATAAAATAAAGTCTTACAAGTCTTCTAATCCAGCCTGCTAACCTTTGGATTTACCAAAATATTTTAAATTTTAAAATACCTGAAAATGAAGTAAAAGTAAAATCAGCATTCACATATCATCAAACTTAAGTTACTACTTTTATTTTTTTTTTATCTTTATACTTCCTACAAAAATAAGTATTTGAATTTATGTAAATGACAGAATGTCATTAAATTTTGAATTTGTATTAGGTTTTCTATTCTAAAATAATAGTTGAATGCTTATTTTGCTTTCAAATCTCAAATGCAACAATTGAGTGTTGCAAAATGGATTCACTATCAGTGTTCTTGTACTTAGTGACAAGTTAGGGAATCAGTGAAATCAATTTTATCTTTGGAAAAAAGATAAACTATCTATCTATCTATCTATCTATCTATCTATCTATCTATCTATCTAAAAATAATCCTGCAACTTATTGAAGAATCCAAACACAGAGAATGTATCCCTAACCATCTGATCAGACCCCCTCGGCACAAGAGCCTAGGAAGGCAAATGTGCCTGGTTACTCAGGTGACATGAAAACCCTCAGGACTCCAGGATGATGAAGGTTCTCGTGTGACTCTCATGGTCAGGAAGTTCCCCCTTATTTCAAGTTTGGATCTTTCCCTAAAGTTTATCACAATTCTTGTCCTAACCCTCAAGGACTTTGGAGATTAAATCCAGAGCCTTTTCCTGGCCTTCAAGAATTGGAAATCCGGAGAAATGGAGAACAACAACAATTCCTGATCCTGCCTTTCTGTCAACAAACAGGCAGTTAGGCACCATGGCTGGGCCTAGTTCCTATGGTTATGGGATTACCGTCTTTGGATCAGTAGTGGCTTAGCTACCGTGAACCAACCCAGGCACCTACCATCACTAATGAGGAGAAGAAATCAATAAAATCCCACAGCGGATCGGTCATCGCCCGGGTCAGCAAGGACCACGTCAGATACTATGGGGCTCCTGGATATCTGCTGAAAAATGGGCTACAGGGCTCAGTTGTTACTGCAAGGGTACCAGGGCATGCAACTGCAAAGCGACTGGGATAAAAGCGTAAAACTTGGAAAACCGAAAAAGATCGAGAAATCATCAAATATTACTGCCAGGCAGAACCAAGAGCCAAGGGATTTCAAAAAAGAATGGTGCAACTGTGGAAGGAAAAACACCCAGAAAGCGACTTAACTGAACAAAAATTAATGGATCAAAGACATTTTATCATCCGTAATAAATTTTTCAAAGATGTGGAAATGCAACATCTAGAAAAATTGGCTAGAAAGAAAACAACACGTAATGATGAACAAGCTGAAGAAATTGCTTCAAACAAACTGACCAGCCAGTGAAAGAAACCAACCTACAGCATGAAGATCCTCCTGTGCAACAACTTGAAAGTGTACAGCTAAGTGATCTAGCAAAAATAATGAAAGAAAAGATTGAAAACCACATCAAAGAAAACATAGAAAGAAAACGACTACCTACCATTCGCAAAGTGCATAGCAAATGAGCAAAAGATCTGTTAACTGCTGTGAACAACATTTTAATTTACATCCCATCCAGCATAATATATGAAACCAACCAACTAATGTATAGCACAGCTGCCATTATAACTGCAGAACTGGGTTATAAAATGCCAAAAAAAAACAAAAAAACACTGGAACACCGAAGTGGAAAATTCGACTTGAAAATAAAATAAAAACCCTACGAGGGGATGTCAGCAATTTAAAGTACTTGAAAGAAGAAAAACTATAAAGAACAAAAAGCTGAAAAATAGTTTACACAAAGAATACAACCTGGAGGAAAAAACAATAGCGGAAATCATGAAAGAACTAAAACAACATGTAATAGCAACAGCAAAGAAAATTGAAAG